GAGATGATATTGATGAAAAGTTCGTACCAAACAATTCAGCTTTGTCTTTAGGTGAGGTGACAAAGTCTGAGCCATACAAAAGAGGTGGAATTACAGACTTGCCCTTATTATTGATACTATTAAAGATTCTCCAGAAGTCATAAGAGCCAAATTTTTGTGATAAAATAGGAGATTTCATGATCTGAGAATAGCGGGCTTTGGCGTTAGACAAAACCTTTTTACAATGGTTCCTAGCAACAATAAACAGACGTCTGTTTTCTGGAGAATTTTTTTGCTGATAGATATGGAAGTAATGGTTTCGATTGGCAATTGCAGCAGCACAATGCGAGGAAAACTATGGAGAAGAGTGAGGCTTGACCTGGAATCGTCAAGAGGGAATAAAGGATTCCATGCCAGCCTGAATCCACGAAGTTATGTAAGAAGCACATTTGTCAATAGGAAGACGAAAGATTTCTACCCAAAGGGCCATCACAAAGAAAATCACAGAAAGAGTCCCAGTCAGCTTTAAGGTAGTTGTAAGATGTACGATGATAAGGAGATTTTGATGATAAAGAAGAATTAGATAATAGTTTTAGAGAGATCAAACTGTGATCAGAGGCACCTAAGGGTGAGTGTGGAGAAACTGAGCACTGACTAGGATCAGAAACAAGACATAAGTCAAGTAGAGAAGGTAAATGATTCAAGTTATCTGGAAAGCGAGTTGGAAAGTTGACTATTTGAGTTAGGGATTGAGAGAGGCAAAAGTTGTGGGCCTTGATGCCTGCAGAGTCACTGACACTAGAGCCAAGCCATTCAGTGTAATGAACATTGAAGTCACTGACAACAACAATATTGGCTGATGGATAAAGAGAGAGGGCTTGGTCAATATAATCAAAAATAACAAGAAGAGTGCAGTCTTGAGATAAAGGAGAGCAATATAGAACAAAGAGAAAGGTGATAGAATGAAGTGGTGCTAAATGAAAGCACATAAAAGTGTAGTCTGTGGATTCAAACTAGTTTCCCGACAAATGGGTAAATTCTTACGAATGTAAATGCCCAGGCCAAGCATGAATTAAAGGAAGATAACCATCAACACTATGATCACAAGATGAGACAGCTGAACTCAAATTAGTCTCACAAAGAGCAAGTAGGTCTGGTGAACTTTGCAAGAGCTAAGACTCAACAGAAGAAAAGTTACTTTGTAGACCATGAATATTAGTGAATGATAGGTTTAGCGAACTTGGTGATGACAGTGGTTTTTTGTGTTTTACAGTTTTTTTTACTTTATTCATTTTCAAATTTGTTAAAGAATTTGACTTGAAACATAGATAGTACTCAGTACACTGTTTAATAACCCAAGCAATTGCCTCATTACTATTAATAAACCCTAAGCCATAACAAAGGGCTCCAATGTGGCCTTAGCAATGCACACCAAAAGTACAAACAGGGACACCATCCATGTGCAACATGGCACTGTTAATACTTTGATATTTTTCAGCTGTTGATGGAATCAGCCTCTCTGTGAACTACCACAGAGTTCGGGAAACCTGACTACCAGCCAGCCTCAGAACAATAAAACTGAGTTTTATTGTTCTGAGGCTTATTAACCTTTTTAGTTGATTTTTATCTAGTTAATTCAATTTCTAGAGTAATTCAATGATTTAACTATTTCATTTGTTTATCTTACTAAAAAGAATTGTTTCAAATATGTTAAACTTTTTAAACTACGCAAAACATAAAATAGGTACTAAAAAAATTATTTTTTTTATTTATAAAATAATTTAGCTTAGACAAAACTAAAACTTGCAAACTTTGTTAAATAAAGAACATTTGTTTCCTTTTTAAACAATTGCAAGATTTTACTTTATATAAAAAACGCCGCTTAATTTTATAAAAAAATTATAAAAGAGCAATGTTTCAAAAATATTTGTTCTAAACGTAATTTATTTTGCTTTAAGTTTTGCGCGTTAAAAGATATTTTCCTAATTTTTTTTTTTTTTGTAATTGTTTCTCATCTATCCAATTAATCTTTAACGCTTTTTTTTTTACTTTTTGAAATGTTCTCAAAATAACTAAAAAATCTGGCCAGCTTTTCGCAACTAAATATTATTTCTGTGGTCAGCAATCGAGAGCGATTGCTCCCGCTTTCCGACCAAGCCTGTTATGTCGGAGTTAGTATCTCCGAGTCTTTGCCTAAAAAGGCGTATCTTACAAGGCAGCAGGACATGAAGCAGATTGTACTAGGTTACATGTTACCAGTGTACTGGGTTACATGTTACCAGATGAACCATAAGAAGAAAGCTTATAGAGAAGACCAGCATGCCAAACTTTACCAAACGCTTTAGAAATCTCAAGAGCGATGACCTTAACCTCTCCACCTGTATCTAATGCACAATAAAACCTATTGGTTATTACTTTTAGCAAATCAGCCAAAGAACGAGAAGATCGAAATCCGTATTGATGATCAGAAAGTAAGTTATTAGATTCAAGATGAGAGATTAAGTATTTGTTAATTAAAGATTCAAAAACCTTGCTTATGATAGGGATAACAGATGCTGCTTTCTAGAAGGCTGGAAAACAAGACTCTGATAAGCACTTGTTGAATAGTTTTAAAAGGATAGACAACAGCTCCTGAGAACACTTCTGCAAGACTATAACAGGTATGTTGTCTGGACCACAAGCTGTAGAAGAGTACAAGCAGGAAATCACTTTAGATACAGAAGCTGTATGTCAAGCAATGGATCGACCTGTTTGACGGCTATATCAGGTAGAACGCAACTAGTGGAATCAAGAGATGTTCTTAGGAAATAATTCAGCTTTGTCTTTAGGTGAGGTGACAAAGTCTGAACCATACAAAAGAGGTGGAATTGCAGACTTGCCCTTATCATTGATACTATTAAAGATTTTCTAGAAGTCAAAAAACTTTTTACAATGGTTCCTAGCAGTAATAAACAGATGTCTGTTTTCTGGATAACTGTTTTGCTGATAGATATAGAAATAATGGTTTTGATTGGCAATTGCAGCAGTACAGTGTGAGAAAAAAAAAAATTCTAGAAAAAAAGGTGCCAGAACTCATCTGTATTATTTTTAACATGTCAAAAATGAAGCAGAAATAGACTATTAAATTTGTAAATAAAATTTATACATATGTATAGCCGTTGGTGGGCTCCCCCACACATCATACCTAATAAGGCAGGAACAAATAAAGTTATTTTCTAATGTAAAAAACTGTTTTTTTTCTTCTTAAAATAACGACAGATGTTATTTTTCGGGTGATGGGAGGGGATGAGTAAGATGAGGGGTCACAACACTATATATAAAATACAAACTATACAAAACTATAAACATTTATTACAAATCCCAGAGTTTTTTCAATTTTCGCTGGACTAATCATCTTGTATTTATTCCTGGCTCATTATGTCTACAGCTGAATCTCTTCTACTAAACAACAACGAATCAATTGATTGTTGTATGTATGTTAACATACTTTAAAAGATGAAAGCTTCTTTGTGGTCCTACTAATTTGATGAATAATAATGTTGAAATGTTTTGGTTATTAATAAAGCCCTGGTTGGTGTGATAATCAGATTCATCTATGAAAATCCTTGTTCGCATTCACTTGCATTCAACTAAATTTTTAGGATATGTTTTTTCTACAAGTTATTCACAGAATCCATTAATCATTTTTCTTTTATTTAACTGTAGTCTTATTGACAGATTTCTTATCTCAGTTTCTCCAAACTTCCCCTAAGTGTTAATTTTTAAAAAAAAACTAAGTTCATTATAAAAATGCAGGGGAAAAAAATGTTAACATATATGTAAAAAAAAAAAGGTGCCCAGAACACCATTCCGATGCGTTCAAGGAGAAAAAAAGCACTGTATATATATATATATATATATATATATATATATATATATATATATATATACAGACACACATATACAGACACATGTATGTAACAAAATGGTCATTATGTTTGAACAAAAAAAATTTATATTTTTTTCAATAAAAAAGCTGTAAAGAAAAAGAAAATTTTAGTTTTACTTTTTAATTGTTTATTGATTTTTATTAATTAGAAGAATGTTGATTTTTTTTTTTTAATTTTTATGTGAAGAGCTAATGGTGACAATATTGTTATGAATGAAAGCAAATAGCATATTGTAGTAAACCAATATAGAGTGTGTCTTCTTTTCAATTTAATTACAGCCTGAATTATTTCAAGATAAAATTGTCACCATTACTATTGGTTAGAATGTTATAGCAAATAAAATAAACTAATGACATTTGTTCTTCACAAACAAATTAAATCAAAACTTCAATATCAATATAATCTAAATTTAATAAAAAAACAATATTTTCCTTTGAACAAGTCTTAAATCTAATTAATAAAACTAAAACCTTTTTTTTTTTTATTTACAGCTTTTCTATTAAAAAAAGTATAAAATACTTATGTGTTCAAACATGGGTATAATTTTTTCACATACTGTATGAATATTTATTATTATTACTATATATATATATATATATATATATATATATATATATATATATATATATATATATATATATATATATATATATATATATATATATATATATTTATATATATATATATATATATATATATATATATATATATATATATATATATATATATATATATATATATATATATATATATATATATATATATATACATGTATATATATATATATATATATATATATATATATATATATATATATATATATATATATATATATATATATATATATATATATATATATATATAGTAATAATAATAAATATTCATACAGTATGTGAAAAAATTATACCCATGTTTGAACACATAAGTATTTTATATTTTTTTTTAATAGAATAGCTGTAAATAATATGTATATATATATATATATATATACATATATATATATATATATATATATATATATATATATATATATATATATATATATATATATATATATATATATATATATATATATATATAATATATAATAACCTTCTTAAACAACCAGATAATTTTTGCAAAATTACATTTTATTATCAATTCAAATTTAAATTTTCCTGTTATTATTGTTATTGCCTCGATGGTACAGCGATAATCCGACTGATGTAAAAAAAAACTTTAAACTTGTATTAATTTTTTTTTTTTTTTTTTTTTTTTTAATTTTTTGCCGTAGAAAGTTACAATTAATAAAATAACATAAATAATAAAACAAATGGCTGGAGCAAGAAGAAGACATCAGTTTGTCTTATCACCGAGCCCCATAGTGACTTCATTACAGGTCGTTTTTTACAACAAAATATATAAAATCGTGATATTGTTTGTGATAAAATATGTAAAAACGTGAAAAACTACGTTTTACAATTGATATAACTGTTTATATATAAATTCGTTTAGTAAAATAAATTTAGAACAAGTAAAAGTTAAAACAAATAAAAGAAATAAATTGTGCTAGTTTATTTTTTACTAAAAAAGTATGACTATGACTATGTTTTAATGAAAAGTATAAACTTCTTAAGGAAATGATATTTAGGAAAGGTTTTGCTTTATACATTAATGAAATATTTCTTAAGAGCTTTCTCTCTAAAGTGTTTATATGGAGCTTCCACGACAAATTTTCATCCTAGTACACACCTAGAAAGTCTATCAAATTTTCTCTTTTTATATTAGTATTATTTATTTTAAGATCAGGTAGTTTGAGAGGAATATTTTCGTTTTTATTTGGTTTATGAAATAGGATGAACTTGGTTTTTTTGACATTCAAAGAGAGTTTGTTACACCTAAACCACTCGTTTATTTTATGTAATTCTTTGTTAACTATGTTAAAAAGTGTCCTAGTGTCTCTATGCCTATAAAATAAATTTAATAAGTTTGATGTTGAATATAAATCATTTATATAGAGTAAAATTAATAATGGTCCCAAGATCGAGCCTTGGGGAACCCCGCAAGTTATGGCGCTATTTGTTGTTTTTGTTGTTTCAAGCTGAATATATTGCTTTCGGTTTGATAAATAATCTTTAAACCAAAGTAAGTTATTATTTTTTACTCCATACACTTCGAGTTTTTTTAGAAGAATGTCGTGATTTACGGTATCAAAAGCTTTAGAAAGATCAATAAAAACTCCTAGCGTAAAGCAATCATTACTAAAAGCATTAGATATTTGATTAACTAGCTCAATTATAGCATGGTCGGTTGAGTGGTTTTTTTTAAATCCAAATTGTTTACCGTATAAAAAATTGTTTTCCGTCAAATAATTGTAAAGTCTATTATACATGACGCGTTCTAGTAATTTGGAAAAACATGTTAAAACTGATATAGGTCTATAATTATTAGTATCAAAATCATCTCCAGATTAAAAAATAGGGGTGACTCAAGCAATTTTTAGTTTATCCGAGACAATGCCTGATTTTAGCGAAAGATCGAAGATGTGGTGCAATGATGGTTCAATGATATCAAATGCTGATTTTACGACAAAGCTACTGATATTATCAAAGCCCGCACTTTTGTTGTTTTTTAGATTTAAAGCGGATTGCAATTCATTAGAATCTAGATGTGTTTCTTTTATAATCTTTTCTGCTTTAAGGTTCTTAATCAAGTAGGAATGAAATGTTGCAGAACTCGACGGAATTTCTGCTGCTAAATTGTGACCCACATTAAGAAAAAAGCTATTTAGATATTCAGCTATTATTATCTTATCACTGACTAATTTACCATCAATTAAAAGCTTTTTCGGGAGATTGCTTTTTGTACAGTTATTATTACCGATTATCTCTTTAATCGAATTCCATGTTTTCTTAGCATTGCCATGGTTTTTTTTAAACAAATTTGAATAATAAAGCTTTTTTGAGTATTGTTTTGTTTTTTCAAACAAGTTTTTATAATTTTTATACGTTATTTCATTTTTATAAGTTTTATTTTTTAGGAATTTGTCGTAGAGTTTTTGTTTTTTCTTGAGGATTTGATTAAACCTTTAGACATCCACGGAGTTAGAAGTGACTTTTTGTTTAAAACAACAGTTTTAACTGGAAACGCTTTTTCATAATATTTACAAAATTGACCTAGAAAAAGTTCGTAGGCGTTGTTCGCATTGCTTGATTGCAATATAAGATCCCAATCAACATTGTTTTTTAGTAAACTTTTAAATTTTTGTAAGGAGTTTTCATTGATCTCTCGTTTGTATAAGGAGGTTTGGGAGAGGTATTGTTTGGTGCTATGTTTTTAGTAGTTAAGAATTCGTAATTCGTAGTTAAGAATTCGTAAATCGATTAAATTATGTTTTTTTAATGGTTAATAAGCTCATTTTTAGATTGCTTTTTTGGCTTAGCTTTTTCTTTTTGTGTATATGTGTGTGAGTACGTGTGTGTGTGTGTGTGTGTGTGTGCGTGTGTGTGTGTGTGTGTGTGTGTGTGTGTGTGTGTGTCAGTGACGGATCCAGCATGGATTACACATATGCATTTCGTATTACAGCATATGCAATGCATTCCAGTGGAATGCATTGCATTCAAAAAAAATTTATTGAGGGGGGGGGGATAGTGGAATGATTCCACTATTTCTCCCCCACCCCCACCCCACCCTCCCCACTAGTTTCTTTTTTAAGAGACGTAAACGTAATACAAAATACAAAAATATTTCAATATCCCCCTTCCCCACCAAAATTTCCTGGATCCGTCACAAGTGTGTGTGTATTTATTTATTTATTTAGCTTTATTTAACATCGGTAGATTTTACAAATATATCGTATAAACTAAGTCACAGTAAAATACTGAGCTATATAAACCGATGATGGTGAACTTGTACCACATGTAAATTTGTTTTAACTATAATAGCCATTTTAATTTTATTCATGACATATTTTGCATGGGCGTTTTATTGCTTTGCACATTCTAATTTTTTTCTTAAAACTTATAATGTTGGTTGAGGAAGAAATATCTCTTGGGATCAAGGTCCAAATTAATGGTCCTGGATAGCGAAGTAAGTGTTTTCCGTACAATTCCGATTTAATTCGACGGGTAATAAAGTAAGCATTACTTTGTGTGTTGAATGTTTTCTTATTAATTATCACTTAGAGGATCATTTTTAATTTTCTATAGCTAAACACTGCAAATTTCTTCGATGTACTGAGACAGAGTTATCTTTTTCTAAAAGCTTTTCAAATGTCGATTCGTAATCATGTGTGTGTGCGTGGTTTTACGCAATCAATGTGTTCAATTAATTCGTAATCAATGTGTGTGTGCGTGGTTTTACGACACTTCTAGCAGATCTTTAAATAAATATTTTTACTTTATAACGGTCTTTTGCAAAGCATCGCTGAAAAGTATTTAATAGAAAAGTCCCCACCACTTTTCCCACAGGTGTTGCTTTTATGGCCAGTACTTGCACTGAACAGTGAAGCTTTCAGCCCTAAGTCTGCCTTCAGCTCTATAACAAATGCCATTGCATTTGCAATAGTTCTCCCTAATGTAGTAGCAAATGTTTAAGCCATTTTTGATATTTAGTCAATTCACTTAGTAAATTTCAGGACTTATTTCGGTTTTGTGAGAATGAAGAGGGTATCCACTTTATATCAACTAAGCGCTGTCAGATAACTTCGTTTTCAGACAAGAATAAGGAGTCTTTTTTAAATCTTTTACACCGAAGAGTAATTCGGCTTTTTTACGACCTTAAGTTTTTCAAGGATGACGTTAATGGCAATTGCTCCGATTATCTTTTTAGAGTTTAAGGGTGTTGACAGGGTTAACAATTTGAAATTCAACTCGCTTTAATTAAGGTTAAATTAAGACTCCAAATTTATTTGCTTTACAGTGGAAGCCTCGTGTTTGACTGAGAAATCAATATTTTTTTATAATTACGTTTTTCTGTAATGTGAAAGTTTATCAAAAACTATTATAAATATTTTTCTTTTATAGTAAGGGTAGGTGCAGGGGGACTTATGTTGACTTACTTATAGACATTCGGTGTTTATAAGAGTAAACAAATTATTTTGAGTTATGAAATGTCCATATTTAATTTTGAGTTATGAAATGTCCATACATTTGTGTGTGTGTGTGTGTGTGTGTGTGTGTGTGTGTGTGTGTGTGTGTGTGTGTGTGTGTGTAAGACCATTGCGCCACGGCTTCGTGAATGCTATATTTATCTAAAGTTGCAATGTCTGTTAAAAGTATGGCTCCTCCGCGATAGTGTGACTAATAAATTAAAGATGAAGTTCAACTTTCTAATTCTAAAACAGATTCCATTTCCAAAAATGACCTTATTACTTTCATCAAGTGATGAAATACTACTCGATCCTTCCAAACTAGTAAAAACAAAGCACTGAAAAAAGCAACAAAAAATCATAAACCGTACTATTTCTTCCACTTCTGGGTGGAACACATTTATCCAGTTGCATCTCTGATACCAGTTAAAATGTCTAAGCCAGGGTATAGACTTTACAGCCAGGTATATTTCTAAAAATGATGCTATAAATCTTTTTTAGTTTAAACATGAACAAAATGTTATAAATTTATTTTTTCATAAGCATAAACAAAATAACAATATAAATACTTTTTAGTCTAAGCTTAAACAAAATGATGAACATTTTATTTATAAAGATTAGGCGCAGGATTTATTTTTTTTATTATAGATTTGTGTTTAATTTTGATGGATAAGTAGTCGCCCAGAAAATGTTATATTAGCTAAGCAATGAATAAACAAAATGATCTTCCTTTTTTATTAAATAATTGACTTCACACCCAATCGCTCCTAACAACCCCCTCCCGCCACGATGCGGGCATGTTTCTAAAGCTTCTGATTTATAACTTTTTTTTAACTTTGTAATATTGGTTTTTTTACTTTCGGTTTCTACTTGTACTAATTGTAAAAGTCCATTAAACTTTACAAACTGTTTGCACTTAAGGAAGGCAAAGATCAGCGTTTCGTAGCCACAAAAATAAAAAAACAAACCTCAAAATGAATTTTAAGGCCAATAGGTCACTACCTTTTTTCTGTTAAAATAGCTGCAATTTTTTAAATTTTAATTAAAATAAGGTAAGTAAAAAAATTATAAAAACCACTCTAGTATTCATTCCCTAACCCTACCCCCTCCTTCCTTTACACACCTTCTAAAGAAAAAGTGGGGAACGTCCACGTGCTTTCCTGTTTAAGGTTGGGCAGAGACATGTGCTCCCTACCCCCCTACCCGTGTTGTTTGCTCAGTATTTCAGTATTATGAAACATAAATATCACATAAATAACTATTTAAAAAATCAACAAGAGTCTGTTTAAGATGAACCGCAATGAACACGTTTATCAACACTATTTGTACACAATTCCGTAAAATTAAAAATGTTTAACGGGGGTTATTATTGATTTAAAATTTATGACTAATCTCTTTTAAAATTTAATATGCAATAACATTTTTGTAATATTTAAATTGAAGGTTAACATTATTTATATTAAAATTATAATATAAAGTTTAAACAAAAATTTATGAATTTATCGAATTGAAATAATAACTTGTACATATAACCCTTTTTTTAAAATTATTATGTTATGAGAAAATTTGTTGAAGCAATCGGTAAAAGAAAAATAATGCCAGAAAACTAGAGTTGTATTGTAACTTTTAACAGTACTTTGTATTTATATTACAATTTGGATTGCATTTTATGTATTGATATTTGTTATGTTATGGAGGCTGAAGCTACTAATGGTAAAAAAACTGTTTTCTAAACCTTAAAATTAATGTTTGTATATGCAACAATAAATAATATTTTCGGCTAAAAGTATACGGAATAGAAAAAAAAAGTTTTTTTTTTTTTTCTTTGTATTATGTATTATAATTACTGCATTTTTAGTGGTAGTATCTATTAAAATTGCTGCTAGTAAAAACTGTTTACAAACTTACAAATATGAACACACGATGTCTTAGTGTGTTCATAATTGTAATAATTAGTATTTTCTAGTTTTATTATTTTTTCTTCCGTTGAAAGATATAGGGATATGAGAAAATTTTGAATTTTCAAAATAATACAATATTTTTTAAATAAACATACTTCTAACCTTGAATCTTCTAAATATATAAAAATCATTTCTGTTGGTCAAGTATTTCAAAAGTTATGAACCTTTAAAGGTGTGATTTTTGATATATGAAAACGCCATTAAAAGTTGGTGTCAAATTTTTTTTTTTTCCACAAAAAAATTCGAGTATATTAAACAAAAATAGAGTTATAAATGTAAAACTAAATATAGAGTTAGAAATCTTAAAATAAATATAATTTAATATGTAAAATATATAATGATATATTTTACCTATATTTTTTCTATAACAACTTAAAAAAAAAAAAATTTTATGAAAAAGTATTATAAGCAATAAACTGAAATTAAAATCTATAAGTTGTTCTGTAAAGTCAACAAATTAGTTTAATTAGTAAATTGTTTGTTTTAAATTTTAAACTGTGACAAAGTTACTAAGTTTTTAAGTGAAATATAAAATAAGTGTTTTGCACCAATCAGATTTTAATAAAGCTACCTTGTGACCCACAAAACTTTACTATGCGAACTCAGGGTAACAACGCTTCAAAAATTTGTATATTCACAACAATACCTTTTGTGCTTGAAGCAACCTTTATTCAGAATGGGCACATCAGATTTACTTCAAATTTTCTGTATGAGTAGTTTAATAAATAATATAAAGGAACCTTTAGTTTTATAAAGGACCCATGTCAACTTTAGGAGCAGTGGTTCATAGAAAAATACCAAGAATTTACAACGTAAAATTACACTATTATTTTTTTCTAAAAATAAACATGAAATATATTAAAATATACATTGGCTCTTTTGCTAAAAAAATACAAAATTTCATTTCATTTGGTTCACAAAAAACAATGCAGCCTATTTTGGCATAATTCTACTTTAAACCAAATCCAAAAAAATGTGGTCCAATTTTTAGAACAGTTTACGCATATTCTCGCATCCCTAAAAGAAATATGTATATTCTCACATCCCTAAAAGATATAAGTTATAACAATATATTCGTTAATATCAGTTTAGAACCATAATAGCTTTTTTTTAAAGGTTTTAAATTTTTTTACTAGTTTTTTTTTTTTTTTTTTTTATCTAATATTTATTTAAATCTTATTATATATATATTAGGGTGGTGCTTAAAACAACTTTTTTGAGAAAAACCTGCTGGTACCCCCTAAATGTGTTTTATCTAATACAAAAACACTAGGTTTAAAATTTTTTTGAACAAAAATTATTTTTAGGGGTAGCTCAAGGCCCTCAAAAATTTGACGGGTCCCTAATATTTTGAAAAAAAAACTTTTTCTAAAGTATGTCAACCTGGTACTCAAAAGAAGCGATATTATATAGAAACTTCAAAAATAATAATCATTTTACATAAAAAACATGCCTAAAAAAAATTATTCTCAAAAAACCTGAAAATATTGACTTTTTTTATTTTCAGCTTAAAAACAATAGTTTTTATGCATTTATACCTGAAAAAATTATTTTTATAAAAAATGATTTTCATTTTTAAATTTTTTATATAATTTTGCTTATTTTGAGTACCAGGTTGACATACTTTAGAAAAAGTTTTTTTTTCAAAATATTAGGGACCTGTCAAATTTTTGAGGGCCTTGAGCTACCCCTAAAAATATTTTTTGTTCAAAAAAATTTTAAACCTAGAGTTTTTGTATTAGATAAAACACATTTAGGGGGTACCAGCAGGTTTTTCTCAAAAAAGTTGTTTTAAGCACCACCCTAATATATATATATATATATATATATATATATATATATATATATATATATATATATATATATATATATCAGGCCTTGTTTTAAATAAAAAAGTGCTTAATGCATTAGCTTAACGCGATTTTGACGTCATAAAATTATCTTTATTTTTTTTTATAGGCGTTAAGTGTTTTAACTACCGCAATAAATAAATAACCGCAAACTAATTCAATTTAACAATTAACTCAAATATAAACTATAAACGTTTTAAATATAAATTTATTATGAAAATTTTGTAATGTTTTCAATTGTTATTTTATTATTAATTTTAGCTCAATATTATTTAGTAAAAAAAATTTATATATATATATTAATTATTTCTGAAATTTGTTTTTGAATAATTGTTTTTAATCGTTATTGAATAAAAAATAATAATGATTTTTTTTATTTTTAAAAATTTCTAGAGTAAACAAAAAATATTAACATTGATAAACACAAACCCATGTTAATTATTTAAACAACGATTTTGTTTTGACTAGCAAAGAAAAATTTAAGTTTTTAAATATTTTTAAAATTTTTAAAAGCGTTTCAACTTGCGTTTTATAAAAATATAAAAAAGTTTTGTATGCTTTGAAGCGTATTTTTGATACATAGTTTAGAACGCGTTCGCTAGGAATTTAATTCATAAACTTTTTATGTTATTGTAAAAATATTTAACTTTTTAAACTATCACAAAGAAACAGAGCTATAGAGAAAAATCGTTTTCAACGATTAAATCTTTTTTTTTTTAAATTTTAGGAAATTAAAAAAAAAAATGAAATTAAATATAAAAGTCTTAATTATGCAAACTCTTTTATTAATTATTCTTAAAACAAAAAAACAAATACTTGTACGCCAAACTTTAATCGTGCAAACTTATAAAAATACTTAACTGAAATAATTTAAGTATATTTAATAATTTGAATCGTATCTGTTTATAATAAACGTTCGTAAAAATTTGTTTATTAAAAATTAAGTTCCTTAACTTATAAACAAACTCAAAAGTATTTTCATTCTACGTATAATTACAAAACTCTTTTTTTTTTTTTCGTTTGTAAGCAATTTAACTTAATAAAATAAAAAAAAGAATAAATATGAGGTAATCTTTGTTAAGAATAAATTTAATTTATTTATTGAACTATATTTTTATTTTTAATTATATATCAACTTAATTAAAATATAGTAACATGTTAAAATATTTTAACATGACTTGTATTATTTATAAACCGTTGGGCAGTTGCCCTTACGGCACTATTGTTTTTGGATAATATTTTATTTTGATGAAGATCACATAACTTACATTTGATTTTAATAACGTAAGTCTTCTCTTTTTCTGTGATCATCGCATCGGCAAAGTCCCAAGATTTAAAAGTTTTTAAAGTAAATCTTTTGTCCTTCAAAATACAATCCATATTCGAACTTTAAATAATTTAGAGATAATAGAAATATACAAGGTTTTTATATACTAGTTTGTTTTGTTTTATAAAGAAAAATACATATTCATTAGTAAAAAATGGAGACTGTCATTAAACTAAAACGTGCCTTAGTATTTATTTAACGGAACCTGTAATGTGCGCGTGCATAATAAAACCTCCGTTATATAAATATATTCAACGTAATATTAGTGTCATCAGCGGATGTTGTAGTCTACTCATGATTTCTTTACCTTATATTATAACTTGATTTATGACAAAAAAAACTTATTGAATCGCATGCAGAAGAATTTTAACAAATTGTCTTCATTCAAATATTGCGAGTAACAGGTAATTTTTTTTTCTGTGCCGACCCCCTCCCCCCGCATAACTTAAACTATATACTAATAAACTAATAAGAAAAGCTATATACTATTAAACTAACTATAAGCTATAAACTATTAAACTAATAAGAAAAGCAAAGACATTTTTTTTAACATCTCGAAAAAATGTCTTGATATTTTTGTTATCATGATAACAAAAATATTAAGACATTTTTTGAGATTTTATTAAAAAAAATGTCAATTCTTAATTACAAATTTTTTTGCAAATGTTTTTTATTATAAATTCAGTAAAAAATTCATAAAAAATCTATATTACAAAAAACTTTTATATTCTGTATTAATAAATATGGAATATAGATTTTTTAAAAGTTTTTTACTAAAAACTTTACTACTTTTTATTAAAAACATTGCAAAAAATTTGTAGTTAAGGATTGACAAACAATTTTTCATGTTGCTAAATATTTGGATAAAAAGTTTAGCGTCAAATTAATTGCTATAAAAAGGAAAGATATATCGCGATGAAAAGTTACAACAATTAATTTTAAAGTAAATACTTTTTTTTAATAAATACCTTTACATATCGTTATTTAAAAGTTAATGTGGTTTTTTTGAAAATTAATTACTTCTTTTATGTTACCGCTAATTTAAAAGTTAAAAAATGATAAAAAGTAGCTTAACCAAAACAGCTCTACGCGTACGTAAAAAGCGCTTTAGGCGTAACGCTTTAAAACAAGGCCTGATATATATATATATATATATATATATATATATATATATATATATATATATATATATATATATATATATATATATATATATATACTCTAATATTTATTTAAATCTATATATATATATATATATAGATTTAAATAAATATTAGAGAATAAAAAAAAAACTAGTAAAAAAAAATTAAAACCTTCAAAAAAAGCTTTTCTGGTTCTAAACTGATATTAACGAATATATTATTATAATTTATATCTTTCAACGGAAGAAAAAATAATAAAACTAAAAAATACTAATTATATATATATATATATATATATATATATATATATATATATATATATATATATATATATATATATATATATATATATCTCAGAATTAGAGTCGGCATTCGGCAATGCTGACCTGAAAGTGTTTGAAGTTGGCAAATAGTGCCGATCTTGTTTCTATGT